CTTCCCAGGTATGGCAGACTGACACTCGCCAACACAGCTACCTTAGCAATATCCTTTACTAAGCAGTAAACAGACGTCCCAGAAAGTGGGCTGTGTTGGCATCTAAAGTTGGGGAGATAAGGCAGCTTTGGGGACTGGGCTCTCAACCTGTGAGAGCGAATGTGGTCTCCAGGCAAGCAGTGGCAGAGCCAACCGAGGGAGCATCAGGTGTCCACTACAGAGCTGTTTGCCCCACACACTTGACCTCAGAAGTGTTTTGTGTCCCAGTGTGTGGCAGCCTGGACACTGGAGGCTGAGAGGTCAAAGCCAGGGTTAAGACCCCGTCCTAAAAAAATAAACGACACACATGAAAAACACAAAGAAGGCAATGAGTATGCGAAAAGATGATCTACGCCGGGCGGTGGTGGCGCACGCCTTTCATCCCGGCACTCGGGAGGCAGAGACAGGTGGATCTCTGTGAGTTTGAGGTCCACAATCTGGTCTACAGGGAGAGTTCCAGGACAGGCTCCAAAGCTACAAAGGAACCCTGTCTCAAAAAACCAAAAAACCAAAATGGATTAAAAAAAAAAAAAAGATGGCCTACATTATGTGGTAGAACATTTCAAATATGAAGAAAACTACTAAATACCTTTTAGAACAGCAAAAATCCAACACACATGAGAAACACTGCAAAGGATCTAGCAACCAGACTGCATTTTAGGGAGTTGGGGAGGATCCTGGAGGGTGGGGTGCAGTAAGAGGCTCTCAGTTTTGAAGATAGTTCAGCAGTTTCTTACAAATCTACCCATTACACTGAGGCTGTGGCTTGGCTCGAACACCCAGGCTGAATGCTATTTTAAGTTGAAGGCAATTAATTCAACAGCTGACAAGAACGGCTTTTTGGGGCTTTATCTAAACGTGGGGAGCTCTGAGGTTCAGGTCGCCCAAGTGCCTCAGGTTGACTGTACCCAACCCAACTTGTACATCAAGCAGCACACAAGACTGCCAAGTGCACTGATTGGCGGGAGGAGGCGCTTTCCTGCCTGTCTGCAGAGCTGCAGCTGCACGGTGCATGAACGTCTGTCTTGTGTTGATCTTTTTGGGTTATTTCACAGATCTCAGTCACTAGCTAACAGGAAAAGTCCCACACAAAACACAGCAGCCCCCAGCAATCCTTCTGGCTTCCATGCTAAACCATCTACTTAGTTCAACTACTCCAGCTCAAAAACGGAGGTGGGGGTAAAGGGGGGTTCGTGTGTGAGTCTTACTGGAAACGTGTCAAGGGTGTGGAGACCTACACCAGCCATCTTTAAAAGCGGGGTGTTCACTGGTGATGGATGCTTCTGCAGAGCGCACTAGCCCCCCCCCTTCCCAACAGTTGATCTTATGTTGGGTAGCCATCTGCCCACCCGGCGCTTCAAGTCAAACACAGGGTCAAGCCCAAAAGTTTCTCTCAATGACACCTTCGCACACCTCCTCCGCCTTCATGTCGCGGGGCAGGACATCAGAACCATTTTCTGAATGGACTAGTATGGGGTCCACGGCAGATGGCCACACTGAGAAGAAGACTCAATTTGTTCCTTAACTATGGCTGTTCAGAAAGGAGACTTTAGCCGGGCGGTGGCGCACGCCTTTAATCTCAGCACTTGGGAGGCAGAGGCAGAGGCAGGAGGATCTCTGTGAGTTCGAGGCCAGCCTGGTCTACAAAGGGAGTTCCAGGACAGGCTCCAAAGCTACAGAGAAACCCTGTCTCGAAAAACAAAACAAAACAAAACAAAAA